TTCGGTTAGTTCTACTCCCTCCGTCCTAAAACTTTCTTCCCAGAGCACTATTCCAACTTCACGGGAATTTATATTTATTTGTGTTTTTTCATGGCCTATATGATAAAATAAAATATTCTTGTCACCACTTGTTTTGTTGAACTTTTGATGTAGTTTTTAAATATGTATGTTTTATTTTTTATTTCTATACCAATATTTAAATAAAATAGATTGAAAAAATTTGAAATTTTTCTTCGTTTTGCGCAACGATAAGAAAGATATAGGACGGAGGGAATATAAAAAATACTCAGTGTAATAAAAAAAATGTTAACTTGAGTAAATCTTAAATGAGGAGTACGTAATTTTATTTTTTCAAAAAATTACTATTAGGTACCATCGGTTTTGCGATAAGAATTCCGAGGTTCCATCGTTTTTTAAACAACTCCGGAGTAGCTTAAAATACTTGACAACTAACTCGAGAGGGACTTTCCATCCATCTCTCCGTCATATTCATTTGTGTCATTATCTTTTTATCATCTTCTTCTCAAAAATTGTTGTTAGGCGCCCCCAATATTGTTCAGTAGAAAGAACCTCCATGTCCCATTTTAAAAATATACTCTGGGATACCCTAAAATATCTAAAAATCTACTCTAGAAAGACTTTCCTTTTTTCATTCTTCTTTTATTATTATTTTTATGATTACTATATTATTATTGTTATCATCGGATTGTCACTATTCACCGCTTTTGCCTATTAGGTCACGCTGGATTGTCGCCACATGCATTTTATTAATAATGCTAGTAATAATAATAATAATAATAATAATAATAATAATAATAATAATAATAATAATAATAGTAGTAGTAGTAGTATTATTATTACTATTAATATTGTTGTTGCTGTTGTTGTTATTATTAATACTCCCTCCGTCCCAATTTATAATGCATGTTTACTATTTACAGGGTCAAATTTCATTAACTTTTTTTCTCAATTTTCGTTAGCAATTTGATAAAATAAAATATTGTTGTCACTACTAGTTTTGTAGATCTTTTGATGTAGTATTTTGATATGTAATTTTTATTTTTTAACTCTATACCATTTGTCATATAAAATGATTTGAAAATAACTTCAGTCAAACATCGTAAACCGAAACAGGCATTATAAAATGGGACGGAGGGAGTAGTATTATTACTATTAATAGTATTATTACTATTAATATTGTTGTTGCTGTTGTTGTTATTATTTTTATAATTTGTGCAACAATAATCCAACGCAACTCAATAGGCAACAACGGTGGCTAGTGACAAGTGTGGAAGGCAATGGCGAAGTGATTAGAAATAATAATAGTAATAATAATATTAATAGTAGAAATAATAATAATAATAATTATAATTATAATAATTATAATAATAATAATAATAATAATAATAATAATAATAATAAAAGAAGGAAAAAAGGAAAGTCTTTCCAGAGTAAATTTTCGGATATTTTAGGTTACCCCAAAGTATATTTTTTAAAAAAGATGAGAGCCGGATGTTCTTTTTACAAAATTGGGATACCAAGGATCAATTTTTTGGGGAAAAATGATGAGAAGATAACAGTGCAAATAAATATGACCGAGGAATTGACGAAAAATCCTTCCGAAATTAATTTTTGGATATTACGTAGTATAAGGTACTCTGAAGTTATTTTTAAAAATGATATGACTTGAGAGTTCTCATCTCAAACCAAGGGTACCCAGTAGCAATTTTTGTTTATTTTTTATTTTACATCGTGACAAAAGTAAAAAGAAAAAAGAAAAAGTTAATTTGAGACAAGAAGACTATGAGGTTATTATCTATTTATCTGTCTATTTTTCTATTTCTGTTTTTTCGTGTCTTAAAAAAGACATTTTCAAATAGTTCCAATTGTCGCTATCCAAAGAAAAAACAGAGAATTATTTTCAAAGAGAGATTGGCATGAAAAATACTACTCGTAGTATTATTTCGTGACAAATTTTAATTGAATGAATATATTAAAAGTATTTATATATTCTACTACGTACATAGTTTTATTTGACTTTTAAAGTTTGGAAAAAGACACGGATATATCCGATATCCGACGGATACTGATACGGTTTTAATTTTTGGCACTCGTCAAGATTCGTTTCTGATAAAAATAAACGGACACAGTTGGATAATGACACATCTGATGCGATTAACTTTTACACCCCTATTTGAGTAACAGAAGTTCCACTTCAGCCATGTTCTACTTCTTGCAGATAAGGATGCGTTTCGTTCACCTGATCTAATTTTTTTAAGATCTGATCTGGTCTGATCTGATTGTAGTTATAATTAAAGTTGTTTTTGATCTGGTCGGGTCTGATTGTGGTCTGGTCGATCTGGTCATAATAAGAATAAGTAATAAGCAGAAAAAATAAGTTGAACAGAATGTCTAAGTTTTGGGTAAGAGAATTATTTCAGTCACTTTAGATAATGTGTCTTACATAAGGGGCCGTTCAATTGGACTTAATTAATTTCAGTACTCTTAAATTCAGTTCAGTACAGCTTAGTTCAAAATTACACTACAAACAGTTCGGATTCATTCAATCTGCCCCTAAAAGAGTGAATATTATTAACAAAATCTGAAAACCATAAGGTTACTTATCTAGCTAGCTCTTGAGAACATAAATTGGAGAGATATATAACGTTGTCGAATAAGGGGGTGCGGGGTGGGGGGGGGGGCTAGAGAGTGCTTACATGGGATCAAGCAAACACAACATCCGTTCGCAACACATATTTGACACCCTTACTGACATTCCGAGCTTTGTGCAGCATACATTTATCCCCATGGATATGAAAGAGAGCCATTCCTTCACAAGGAGGAACCTGCAAAAAAAATCGGCATGTAGTCACATAAAAAGACATTAGCTGCAAGAAACCGATGCATGTGCATGGTATAAATGGGCTCTTTAATTATTTGAAAAACTTTCGTTACTCGTCTACCAGACATGAAAATAAAGAACCAAAAAGAGTGATACAGAATGGGGTACTCATACCTCGGCGACCAGAGAATTTCTAGGACCATAAAATACAGTCTCTCCTCCAACAAGAGGCTCTGTCGGAGAATCCTGAGCATTCTTATCCACCTTAGCTTTGGATTTGAAGCCTCTTCCACTTAGATACACTAACAATGTATAGTGTGTGAATTGACCTTCACCAAGATCAACACTTTCATCAATATGACGTCCAAAACGCTGGCCAGCCTTGTACCTAGTAGGTGAAGTTGTGAAATTTAATTATCCATATACGGTGTCTAAATTCCAACAAATCCATGGTGGTTTTCGTGACACGTTAACACTAAAGGACAATACCAAGAACCACTAAAACTCAGTCTAATCCAAACTCCACTGAGGTCTGGGGTCAAGACGTGTGCAGCCTAACCTTTCAAATCCAGACATTTTCCACTATTTACTACTGAAAAATTCAGAGAAAGCAAGAAGCGAAGGAAGTCTAATGTGCCATTTTGATTAAATCCATTATTTAACGGAAGCTAAAACATTGTCAATAATGACGTTTTTAACTCCATTAATAATGGGTGCGCAACATATAGGCAATGCGAAAGCAAATTGGGCAATGAGTTATTTGTATATGCAACATATATTGTTGAGTTATTGCAATTATCTAAATTCAACAACTGATCTGTATTTTCATCATACAAATTTCAAGTAAATATGTCCAAACTCCAAAGTTTATAGAAGACACATTTCAGTATGCATATAACCGATAATAGCAAAGTGCTGACTGGAAGAAGAATATCTGCTGACCTGTAAAATCTGATGTTCGGGTTTAATCCAACAGCAACTCTGCCGCAAATTCTAATATCACAAAAGAGCTTGTCAATTCCTGCTTTCCATATTGCACCAGCAAGATCAGGGTCATTTATAGAGATACGATCATTATCTCTATAGGCTTCACCCATTGTTGGGCCAAGGCTCCCTTGGTGAACAAACCCAACTGATTCTGCTGCTTCAATGAATGCTTTTGCTTCAGCAGAAGTCAAGTAATTTTGCACCTAAATGTCGAAAGAAGAGGAAGTTTTGAAGTGAGATGAAGTTCTAAAAATATGATGTAGGGGATGTTTGGCAAAGATAGATTGAGAAGCTTTTTATCAAAAAGAGTTTTTTTTTTGGGTAAATGTGTCAAGGGACCTACTCAACAAAAAGCTCAAGCTTGTGACTGTGGCCAAGGAAAGATATTTTATATTCTAACACACCCCCTCACGTGCAGGCGTGGTCTTTTTTAGCCTTCCACGTGAAATCTTAAATGTTTAAAATTGGGTGGCACTGAGTTTCGAACGTGTAACTTCTTAGTCAGCTAGGCTTTGATGTCATGTCAAGAAACCAACTCAACAAAAAGCTCAAGCTTCTGGTTGTAGCCCAGGAAAGGCTTTTTATATTGTAACAAAAAGAATGTCCAAACGGTTATTGGAAGTGCTTGGAAAAAAACTTTTCGGGACAATTTTTTGGTCCAAAAAGGTGGATTACAAAATGCTTGTTTCTCGAGCTTTTTAGGAATTACTTCTTCCGTCGAAAATTTTCTAGATTAAGAACCTCAAACAACTTATACAAATGGATCATCTTACCAAACAACTTTTTTACAATGACACAAACATCTACCTGAACTGCGGACACAAATACCTAAAAGTTAAAAGCTTGGTTCTAAACAGAACCATAGTACCCAGTTAAATCATAGAATAAAAAAAAGTAAAACTCAATGGAGAAAATAACTTGAATTCTCTTTTTTTTCATTTAACTTTTATCCATATAATTTTTTATAAATATTTTCATTTACTTATTCTAAATCTGCAAGGTAACAAAAGTTCAAATTGATGAACTAATGCCTAAATTCCATTCATAGCAGAGATTTTAGCAGAATTATCGATCTGATGGAAAAAATTATACTCCGTATCAAATAGTTGAACGCAATCATCGATCCCCCTATCGATCCAAAGCCAAAAAAACTTCATCCGAAAATTGCAACACAAAAAAAAGTAAAAAAAAAACGGAGAGGGCAAAAGGTAGGCTTACAGTAAGGAGATCGTTCCCTTTGAGACGAGAGACCTGGAGATTGGACTTGGGTTTAATGGCTGGCCATTCTGTTCGTTTCCTTTTTGTTTCCTCGTTTCTTCTGTCTCCCATTTTTTGCCCCCTTCATCATAGAACTATTGAAGATGAGAGATTATATTGCCCTTCGGATAATATTTTTATTTTTGTAGAAAATTATAAGGAGTATATAGTTTTTTAATAAGTACTCTGAAAGTTTTATTTTGATACCCTGGAGTAATTTTTTGTAGTATTATTTAAATAAAGAATAAATTTCCAAAATAGTCCTCAATAAGTTTTAATTACCTACGTGGTCCTCTATAATTGAGATTTATTCCCAAAATAGTCCTTTGTAATAAGGTATTTTCCCAAATCAGTCCTCAATAAGTTTTAATTATCTATGTGGTCCTCTATAATTGAGATTTATTCCCAAGATGGTCCTTCGTAAATAATATTACTCAAATGAGGATTAATTGAGGGTATTTTTATCCGCTAAATTTAGAATTAAATCTTAAAATAATCATTTATAATGAAGTGCTTTCTCAAAATGGTTTTTTCTAATTAAAGATGTGTATTTGATTTGAAATTTAAAATTTTTTTAAGTTTTAAATAATTCATAAATTATTTATAGTCAATATATTTTTAAAATTTTACATTCAGTTGTACAGAAATGATTGTTTCGAGAATATACTTTAAATTTGGATGATCAAAATACCAAAATTTCTCCCAATTAATCCTTTTTTGAGGACTGGTTTGGGAAAACATCTTATTACATAGAGATAAACCAAATACATTTATAAAACTTAAAAAAAATTAAATTTCAAATCAAATACACATCTTTAATTAGAAAAACCATTTTGGGAAAGTATTTCATTATAAATGATTATTTTAAGAATTGATTCTAAATTTACCAGAGAAAAAATACCCTCAATTTATCCTCATTTGAGTAACATTATTTACGAAGGATCATCTTGGGAATAAATCTCAATTATAGAGGACTACATAGGTAATTAAAACTTATTGAGGACTATTTTGGGAAAACACTTTATTACAAAGGACTATTTTGGGAATAAATCTCAATTATAGAGGACCACGTAGGTAATTAAAACTTATTGAGGACTAATTTGGGAAAATCCCTTATTACAAAGGATTATTTTGGGAATTTACTCTTAAATAAATTAGATTAATTTGGGACATTTGAATATACACCACGCGCCTCATTTAATATGCACCACCCACTTTTATTAAGATTTTTTAACACTACAAAAAACTGCTAAAATCGCGACGGAAAAATTCCGTCGCCAAAGGCTTATTTCCGTAGGTAATCGGTTTAACGACGGAATTAACGACGGTTTTTTTCCGTCGTTATTTTTTCGTTAGTATCAAAGTTAGCGACGGTTTTTTAGTTCCGTCGCCAGGCAACGACGGAATTGGCGACGGAAAATGGTGACCCTTATAGCAATGTGACCACATAGCGACAGAATTAGTATTCCGTTGCCAAATTGACAGCAATTGCACGAAATCCTGCAATTTTTTCAATTTCACACAAGAATAACATCAACCTGCTCTAAATCACAACACAACATCAAACAACCAATAAATCACAACCAATAAACTTTCATTTTTTTCAACTCTCATTGAAAACTTTAAAAGATCAATTGAGAAGATTTATGACGGACAGAAAAAGTATTACTTCGTACTGTTTAGAAGTATTACATATCTAAAAAGTAATCTAACATTATTTTCGAAACTAGTATATATTTATTTTTTATATTATTCATAATATTGTGAGACATATCTAAAAAGTTTTATCTTGAAAAAAATGAAAATTTTCTTTTGGAGCGAAGGAATACCATTTCTAAAATCACGACAATTTTTATTTATTTATATGTTATTATTAATTATTTGGCAAGATAAAAATTTCTTATTATCGTTTGTTTAGTACTCCTTCCATTCATAAAAACTCTTCTTGTTTTGATTTTTAGTCAAACAGTGACATTCGTTAATCATAAATTAAACATAATATAAATAAATAAATATTATAAAAATTTAATGTATCAAAACCAAGGAAGTATAATTTTAGTGTAATTTTCAAATGTGAATATTTTATTTTTTTTATTTTTATACTAATTTTTAATTAAAAAAAATAAGAAACTTAAGATTTTGCCTTGCACTTGCTTCCATACAACTCATTTTTAGGAGGCATGTAACTTACATGATGTAAGTGGTGATAGGTAGAATATAAATGGGTGAGGGTAAATTTTGTTCCTAAACTAAACCTAAAGAATACTCAGTCGTTGAAGCCTTGAAGGTAAAGGATGCTCTCTCTCTCTTTTAAATTACTGCTAAACAATGGAGTATAATTAATGTCCGTTCGAACCAGAGAAGAAAGAAGAAGCTAGAAGCAGAGAGAAATGGGGTGTGCCAATCTGTTCTTCACAACAGTGATAATCTTCTCGGCGGCGCTCATCACCTACAACATCCTCGTCTCAGTCAACACCTCTCTGAACCCAGATTTCCCAAGCCCTACAAATTTCGGGAGAAAATTCAGGAATTCCAATGACCCGGTGATCAAGATGCCGGCTGACGGGGAATCGGCGGAGAAGAAGAAGAAGAGGCTGTTCCACACGGCGGTCACTTCGTCTGACTCGGTCTACAACACCTGGCAGTGCAGGATCATGTATTACTGGTTCAACAAGTTCAAGGATGGGCCTGGTTCTGAGATGGGTGGGTTCACCAGGATCTTGCACTCCGGGAATCCTGATAGGTTCATGGATGAGATCCCTACTTTTGTTGCCCAACCCCTTCCATCTGGGATGGATCAGGTAAAAAAAATTGGCTCTTTCTTTTTTCACTGTTTTACTGTTGAGTTTGATAAATTCACACTTTCCTACTAGTCTGTTTGGGAATAGCGTTAGAGATTATGATTAGCGTTTTGAAATACTATCTACGGCCAGCGTTGCGTTTTCAAAGTAATCTACATTGTTAAATTTTTATCCAAAACATTAACAAAAATGTTTATTTTCTCAAAATGGAAGGGAAGTTGAACTCTTTGGGACAAACTAAAATGGAAATGTAGAACCTTTTTATGTAGTATAGCTGGAATTGAGTCATTCACAAATGTATTTTGTGTGTACTAATTTATCACGTTTGTTTTCCTTTTTGGTTTCTTCCAATTTATATGTTTTTATATGGAGTATAGTTTTGTTTATCTGTTTTATTAGTAGTATTCCAAAAGGGGCTGCTCCAGTCCTTTTTTTTCCTCACCCATTTTCAATATTTACATGCTTATACACAGTTTATTACTATAAAATCGCTGCTTTCTTTTCCTGGGGTAAACTCACCTTAAAGAGACTTTCTTTTTTAAAATGTAATTGGGTTGTTTGAGAAGTTCATTTAGTATAGTTGAATTGGGTCATACAGAAATGTACTTCTGTCCTAATTTATGTGGTTTCCGTTTTCGTCTGTCCTAATTTATGTGTTTTCCGTTTTCGTCTGTCCTGATTTATTTGCTTTCCGTTTTTGTCTGTCCCAATTTATGGTGCCTCTAATTTTAGAAAGTATTATGTAAGGGTAGTCAAACTCAAGATTCCACATAGGGTGTAATCTACACCGTTGTTCTCTCCCTTTAATCCTCTATGCATAAATCTCAACCACACCGTATTTAGTTCGTAATCTCTATGCTCAGTCCAAATATGCACGATAAGATGCGATCGGAGGAGTACAATTTAGAAGGGTTCAACTCATTGAAATTTAATTAGCCGTGTTAATTACAATACTACATACTTATTTTCTTAAGAAAAGGGCGAAAAGTTGCTTTCTTTGCATTGTTGTGGGATTAAAGGTAGATGATCAATTTTCTCTTTTATGATTTGACATATGGCCACATCTGCAGAACTTTTTAAGCTTTGTACAGGACTACAGGGGTAAAATTGAGAAAATTGATCACATATGATTTGATTACTGGATGCCCATCTAATATGAACGTTAAACCTATAGAATGAGATAGAGGTAGTATAAATTGATTAAGAGTAAAGCAGTTTAATACTCAATGTCCTGGTAATTTATTCATATAATTCTCTTAATTTAAGATAATAACTAACACGCGCTCCTTTGTCAAATAGCACAAAGTATTTGGCCTAAGGGACCAAAAATGGTTGTCAACTGCATCTTAGAAGTTGCATGAGCATATGGTATATTAGAAGTATCTTGCAGTATTATATGTTTTGACGTCAGTGCCACTGCCACATAGCATCTTTAGGTGGGTTCAATTTTCTTTTGGAAGTGCTCCAACTATGCAACTAAGTAATCTTTTCGATATCATGCATTTCAGGGCTATATAGTCCTTAACAGACCCTGGGCATTTGTGCAATGGCTTCAACAAGCAAATATAGAAGAAGAGTATGAACTATAAACATGTATTCGTATAAAAAACTTCCTCTTAATTGCATTATAATTCTTTGTGCAGATTGATATTGAGTCTCCTACATTCCCTTTCCGTTAATGCAGCTACATACTAATGGCAGAACCAGATCATGTCATTGTCAAGCCCATCCCGAATTTATCCAGAACTGGCCTTGGAGCTGCATTCCCTTTTTTTTACATAGAACCAAAAAAGTTTGAATCTGTTCTTAGGAAGTTCTTCCCTACGGAGAAGGGACCGATAACTGACATCGATCCAATTGGAAATTCCCCTGTCATTATTGAGAAGGTACCCATAATCACCCCCGTCATTTTTGGGTTATAATCAATCTTTCCTTTTTTTTTCTTTTAAGTAAAAGTCTTATTGAAGTTATATGTTTTTCAGGATCTTCTAAAAAAGATAGCTCCAACATGGATGAATGTTTCGTTGGCAATGAAGAAAGACCCTGAAGCTGATAAAGCTTTTGGCTGGGTACTTGAGATGTAATCCTCCCCTTTTCATCCTCCAGAAAAGATTTTCTTCCTCTTGTAGTCATGTAGGATGGGAAGATAAATGACCTTTTTTCCCTTATGCATTGCGTATCTTCTCCATGTACAGGTATGCATATGCTGTTTCATCTGCATTGCATAATGTGGGCAACATCTTATACAAAGAGTTCATGATTCAGGTACCCACTCTTCTTCTAAGTTCTATCCATGCACGGGTCTGTGTTGGATTTTCTTCGAAACTCTTTAGACACCCTATATCTCACGCATTCACCTTAACGATCTCAATTATAAAATCCTTTTTTCCTTTAGTATTGTATTAAAAGTCGACTCCATTATCAACATGTTTACAGAATGTTAGCGACTAAGTGAAAATGT